TAGGAGAAAAATGACTTAATTTTTCTCCCAAAAGTAGGCCAGATAATCAACATATATTGATAAAATATTCAATCCAATCCCAATTTGATAAATTTTTATGCCCCAAATAATTTTTTAAGGAAGAAAAGTGCTGTGGAAAGTAATGGCAGAACTATAACTTGAAGTTAGGGAGTAAATTTGTTTTTTGTTAACAAAAGAAATAGGGGGAGTTGAGCAAAGCTTCCACAAAAATGATTGAATCATATATAATTTTACACTTCTTATTATCCTAATAAAGTAATAAAATTTTATATGTTTTATTATTTATTTACTTATATTTTCTACATAGGAATGTATAATATTTGTATACATGCATTTAAACTTAATATTATTAGTATTCAAATTAGATTTATTTAATATTTTTTTTTTCACATTTTTAATTTTCTTTTGCATTATTAATTAATACTTTACTAATTTTTAATAAGAAGGTATATATTTTAATTTGAGGGATATAGGGCTACACTGTTTTTGAGTTATATATATGGGTGGGAAGAGATTTCTCTGTGTTTGATATTGAATGGATATTTGGTGGAGCTTTTAGTGAGCTTCTCCCTTCTAAGAAGATCAAGCTATTCAGATTATATCCAAAGGATTTTATTGTCGAGGAAAAACTTTTATATCTACAAAGTTCAAACAGATTTAATAGATGTTTTATTTCGAGTAAGTGACTCCTATTGAAGATAATAATTTATAATTTTTAACACGGTTTAATTTTTTTATTTTATTAAAAAATTAAATTAAATATAATTAATATATATATTTTAAAATTTTCTTAAATAATTTATGTATTAGACTTAGATATATATTTTTTGTCTTTTTCTTTTTAAGTAATTTATGTTTTAAACTTAAATATGGTCAATGAATTACACTTAATTATAACTTATAAATTTAGAATTTTAAGATTAAGTACCTATATGTACTAATATACTTGAAAATTTATAGATACACCATCATAAATTTAATAATTAAATTCTATTAGTCTCTCCTTATTCTTTCTCTTATTTCTAATAAAATATTATCTAAAATATAACTTATCTCTTAAAATTTTTGCAACAGCTACCCTGATGCTATTTTAGTAGTTGTAATTAATTTTTACGGTGAAAATATGATACAACATTACTGCAAAGCCACACACACACACAGATATAACATATATATGTGTATATATATATGTTTATGTGTGTCAAAGTACCTCAAAGCATAAGGTTATAAGGTAAACGAGGTAGTCAAACAAGAAACCTAAATTAACCAAGATAGAAATTTAATAGTCACAAGACAGAATTACTTGAAGAAGCAGCAGAAAAAAGAGTACAACAGTAGCCAAAAGAGATAAACTGAAATAACTTTCTCAATATTGAGGTGAAGATGAGATAGGTCCCGAGATAAACTCCCAGTGGCGGATTATCTTCAACTTAACAATCCCAAAATGAGAGGTAAATATCCTGAACATTTGTAGAACAGTAGATAAAACTATTAATTCTTATTATTATAGGCACAAATATATATATAGATGTAGATATATATATACTTACATCCATCTTTCATTTGCAGCCTGATTGTTGGCCTCCCAATGTGAGCCCAAAATGAGTATGAGGAAGGTGTGCCCACTGTATATCGAAAGAAAGAAGATTTAGTTAGTTACCCACTCGGCTAACACACACACACATATATATATATATAGGATAAAGACCTAATTAATTCATAGCTCAAAGATTTTGGTAAGCTAGATTAAATTAGGACAAAAGTTACATTCTTTGCAGCAGTGGTAAATGCTTGCTTGTGGCTGATACATGGGTTAATTGCCTTGATCCTTTGAATCTCCTCTCTGTATATAAGTCATATTCATTATATCTGTATGCATACATATTGGTTTTTTTTGGGAAACAGTTACTTTTATCAAGAGAAATTAATTATCATTACTTCATGAACTGATTGTATGCAGAAGGTCCTCGCTGTCTTTTCCCAGATGGATCTGAGAACATTAAAACAAATTCTCATGAAAATTTCAGAATTGAAAGGGAAAATATTACTTGCTTTACATATATACGCGCATATATATATGTGTGTGTGTGCGTGTGTGTGTAGAAGTGTGCGATTATTTAACATTGATTGAAAAGTAGCCGTTGATTCTTACGAAAGGTTGGAGCTTCTGGTAGCTTGGTTTCCTTTTTGTTGCAATTGGATGAGGAACCCAGCTCAGTTCCAAGGCTAAGATACGTGTTGTAGTAATTATGTGCCTGAAAGTTTCCAAGGGTAAGACACATGTTGTAGTAATTGATATTGCTCTAGCATACACTTTCCATATATATTACATACACATATACATACATATATATATATATATAAACTTGAAGCTTATAAGGGCAAGATGAGAAAATCAATTGCTCTTGAATACTCATCATTTGATAAAATATTTACTAATTATTATATAATAAATTAATTTCTTTGTTGTTAATTTGAAAATTTGAATTAATTGGTTTTCTAATCTATTATTTAAAGAAAATCACATTTCAGAAGATAGAGGGTAAACAAAATGAAAATAATTTTACGCACTAGCTGAATTGAAATATTCCTAATAAATTTTGCATATATGCTAATTAATCAAAAATTATATTTTCATATGTTCTCATTACAAAATTGTATTATAATAAATATATATAGGTCACTTAATTATAATATATATATCTATATCTATACTAGAAAAATACATTAAACACTCTCTAGTTCAATTTACTTGATTATATCTTAAATTGTTTTTTAATTTTATATTCTGATGTACTATGTATATATTTATATATATTAATAAATTGAAAAAGATATGGGTAAAAAGTATGCAATAGGAGTTTTAGGAAATATAAAGCAGGAAAAAATAGTAAACCAGATTTTGAAGTGTTTACACCAATTAATTTCTTTGAAGCTTCTACAAGAGATTGTTAATAGGAAACCTACAATTTGACACAAGATTTTTCTTCATTACTTCCTGAGAAAATGCATGTAAAAATTTAGTTTCCTTTCAGGGAAAAAAAAAAAGAAAAAAACAGCAAAAAAAAAAAGAAAATTAAGTTAATGGATATTACAAAAGTTCTTGCCTGATATAAAAAGTCTGCCTGCAGGTTTAATTTCAGTGCTGGAAAGTATAAAGAAACAAAACCAGAAGCAGAAACCCTAGATTCAAAGAGACACCCTAAAGAGGTAATTAGGAAACATTTGATTTTTTCTCTTCAAAAATAAACAAACACAAGAAACCCTTTATGTCGTTTGTGTATATATCAATATATATGCTTTCAGATTACCCTTTTTGTTCCAACACATCACCTGATGAAGATCTTGTGTTGACATTGACTGTAACGTGGCTGCCATGTTCACAGACCAAAGGTTGCTGCAATGCACACACCGGATGGTCACAATATCATACAAGCTGCTGCATGGGACTCTCACCTGCCCAAAAATTTACAAAAAAAAAAAAATTAAACCCAGAAACCGCCATTGATCCAGAGGTTAGTTTGAAGATGAATATACTTGGGGATCTGTAAAAGATCTTCTTTCTCTTGATCCAAGAAAGTAAGATATCAATCAAGACAAGAGAAAAAACAAAGGTTTTCTGATATTGATGCAGTAATCCACAGTTCAACTTTTGCCTCGACTTTAGTGCTTAGTTTGAATATAGGAATAACCCAATTCAATTCTTTAAAAAATATGAAAAAAAAAATAAGGAATTGCTTTGAAAATAACAAATTGTCTGATATCTCTTTAATTTGCCTTTTCTTTTTCCCCTCACTCTTTTGCTGTTACTTTTCTTTGATCTGACTGCAAAAGAAGAAGGAAAGAAAATAATCTTTGATGGGGACTTGATATTGAAAGTAACCCACCAGTATTCAAATATAGATATATACATAGATACAATAAAGTGTATATATATATATATTATAATGTAAAAGGAAGAAATCCCAGGAAGAAAATGAAAAGAGACAGATGAAATAACTTAAAAAGAAAAAAACCTGCGAACCTGAAATGTAGAAGCAGAAGCAAAGACTACTGATCAAAATCTTGTTTGACTTTCTCTTTAAAAGAAAAAGAAGAGACAAAAGAATATAACAGAGATTCATAAAGCGAATCTTTTCCCAAATTAAGAAGTTGAAAGTTACGTAGATCGATGTATGTATATCAATATCTTGTATGTATGTATGTATATACCGCAACGACAATTTTGCAATGCTTGCAGGGCATGTAACACAGTCTTTCACACTCAAAACCGTTGGAGCTTGACATGTTTCTTCTTGTTCGAGATCTAGTCAAAAACCAAGAATGGAAATAAGGAGATGTAAGGAAGCAAGCAGATATATATATATATATATATCAAGAAATAATGTGATGAGATAGGGGAAAGGAAAAAGGCCAAGGGTTTTGCAGTGACACCACATGCATAGAAATGTGCTTTCTCAGAGAGAGAGAGAGAGAGAGAGAGAGAGATGAGTGAAGCTGGAAACATGCAGACATGGCGAGAGGACCCCACAAGAGGGAGAGATGAGAGAACATGTGGAGCATTAGGGTTAAAGAACCAAGGGGAAAAGCTTGTGATACATCCTTGTCTCAACCATGGATATGATTGTTAGTACTGCAAAACCTGATATATATTCTCTGGGGAATATATACATACATATAATATTACCAATATTAATTACTATATAATATATAATATGCATATATGGAGATATATATACACACACACACACGTATATGTGAAGAAATTTTTCATATATGTTGTTATATATAAATTTCCTTGAATCTACCAACACTAATTCAACCAATTTTATCTTCCAAATTCAAAGATTCTTTTTCCAAATTCAAATATATAAACAATTACTTTTAGATTAATTAGTCAATAAGAAGAAAGGTTTTTCTTTTTCTTTTAAGGGAGAGATTGAGTTAAGATTAGAGACTTAAACCCTAAATCCGTTAAAAAAAAATTAATTATAATAATTTTCAAATGAGAACATATTTAAATTGAATTTAGTAAATTAAATTACTTTATTAACTTACTTTCAAAATTAACAGTGGGTAATTACTTCATAATTAAAACTTAAATAACAAACTGATTTTATACAACCACTTATTAAAAAAAAAAAAAAAATTTGTAATGAGCTTGTGTAATATTCGAGAGGGATTCAAGTCTTGATATAAAACTTAATGATTAACCAAGAAAAATAATATCTAATGATCAAATATAAGCTACAACCATGTATATAACTGTAAGTATATATAGGTGAATAGTAAAATGTAGGTGGGTGATGAATAATATTTGGAGTTAGTATTGGAAAAAAATGACAAACATGAGAAACCAAAATCAAAGTAATAAAGATCTTGGAGTGATATATAATAAAAGATTCTGTCCTTTGTCGATTAAAAACGAAATTGATAATGGACTGTGCAACAAATGCTAGTTGGTTCATCAAGTATCTTTCACTACTGTCTGCGACAAAATAATTGTCCCTCGTACATTCTCATTCTTTTTCTTTTTCAATTTTTTTCTGAGGATAAATATGTGTACGTGTGGATCAAAATTCCCCATAATTTATATATATATATATATATATATACATGTACATGTTTGAAAGTTAACAAAGGCAAGGGTGTTCTGCGTATTCATAGTTCAATCACATGTTTCTCAAGAAAGAAAAATAAATATATAAATAAATAAAGAAGTCAATCACATGGCTCCAAGAGCTGTCAAGGGTTTGTCCAATCATTTTCATTTACAAAGCTATTTCTCAAGAACGATCATATGTTAATAATTGTCCTAATCAGTTCATCATTCATGATTTTTGTTACAACTGGTGGCCGGAATTTGAAAAATTTTTTGTACATTCATTTCTTTAATAAAAAGAGTTAGAGAGATGATTACATTTAGATTTCGTCAAATGCAAAAATACAATTATTACCCAACACATCACTTTATCTGTAAACAACGTAATATATTTACTTTTGTATTAAGTAAAATTCGAAAAATACTATATGATTCAAAATTTAAAACATGTAATTAGAAACACCTAAGACCATTGAAATATAGAATGAAATTTGAATTTATTGTAAGACTAATTGGATTCAAAGTTGCTCAATATTTTTTCATATTTCATTCTTTTATCTTAAAGAGTTCTTTGAAATGAATGAATCAAATTTAATACAAATAGATTTTAAAAAGGTAAACATGTTTCATGGGTAACTTTAGAGAACACTACCAATAAATAGATTGTTCTTAAAGATTTGCAGCAAGCTCCCACTCAAAATATTTCTAGATTCATGGACGCTTTACACCTTCGCAATCTTCTTTTATACCTTACAAAGGTTCTTACCCCAAGTAATTCTATCGAAAGAGAAATTTACTGTCTCTTCTATTATAATTAAGAGATACAGATTTTTACATGTTCGTAGAGAATGTAATTTTATGTACTGATGTCCTAATCAAAATACTACTATGAGCACCGTTTTGTTGGCTCAAATCTCCGTAGATATTCAAGAGTATTTATATATCAGTATGTGTGATAATATCTGGTCTCGTTTGACAGATTAATTGGTCTTTTTCTCTTGTTTAGATTTGAAAAAAAAAAACGGACACCAAATGGTTAGTTAACCTGTTGATTTTAGTCAAGTTCATTACTATTTTTCTTATATTCTGAATTTATCTCAACCTAATCTTACCTTTTAACTTCAATAAAAATGAAATTTTTCTAGAAATGAAAGTTAATTAAGAAATTTATAGGGCTAAATTAAGTGCCCAAATATAACTTTTAGCCTGACGTCACTTAAACTCATTTCATTTCAGTCAAGCCCAAAACCTCGTTCTCAACCGAATCCAATTTGCGGCCCACTGAGCCCATCCTCCAAAACTTAAAACAAAAAACGGTGTCGTTTTAACTCTCTCGTCTGGTTCCCGATCGACAAAGCCGAGAAATTGGAAAAGAGAGAGCCCTGAGAGGAACTAGGAATCGGAGGTTGAAGACTCGTAGAGAGGTGGCGTAAAGCTGATTTGTAAGAAATCTTGTTAAAATTAGTTGGTAGCACAGTTTTAATTAGAGTTTACAACAAAGAAAGAAGACATGGAGAAGAAGCAAAGGTCGAGGTTGAATATCGCTATAATTCATCCAGATCTTGGCATTGGTAAGCCTATTACTACCTCTGTTTCAATTGAGGTCTTTGTTCTGTTTGCTTGTTCACTGAGAAAATTGCTTGGTTGATTTTTGCAGGCCCAAAAAAAAAAAAACTTGTATCATCATTTCCCTTTCTTAACATGGAGAAATCTTGTTGTAGTGCATGATTATTTGGTTTTAAACATGTTTCTTAAATAAAGTTTATCTTCCGTCTCCAAAAATAAAATATAGTTTCTCTTGATAACCATCTGAGTTTCACTAAGCAAATATAAAGGTTTTTCAAAGCATAATTTGTCAGAACAAGAGGTAGTCTTGAGCACTTTATAATAGATGGTTGGTTATGTTACGGTCCTAATCTTGTTTCCAAATTGTTGTGTGATTTTCATTTTTCAGCATGTTCTAAAACATGTTAAAATTTGAAACTTTAGAATCTTTTATCAGTCTTTCAAGGGTTGGAGTCAACAATGTGGAGATCTTTAAGAGATTGAAAGTAGTTAGTTTTATGGCAGAGTTGGTGTCCGTGATAGTTGTGGAGTTGACGAGTACTGCTTTCTGGTTGTGAATTTGGCAATTGTGATCATTTTACTGTTTGTCATAACATTGTTAGTTTTAGAATCTTTTATCAGTCTTTCAAGGGTTGGAGTCAACAATGTGGAGATCTTTAAGAGATTGAAAGTAGTTAGTTTTATGGCACGAGTTGGTGTCCGTGATAGTTGTGGAGTTGACGAGTACTGCTTTCTGGTTGTGAATTTGGCAATTGTGATCATTTTACTGTTTGTCATAACATTGTGCCAGTGTTTGTGGTGGAGATGTAAATCATACCTTATCTAAATGTTTCTTGTTTGGCTGCATAGACTTTTAGCTCTTCTGTTTTTACACTGTATATTTTTAATTTATCTTAATATCTTATTTATTTTGGTTTGTAAGAAAAAAAAAGGAAACAAGGAGCTGTGGTTTGAAGAAAGAAACTGTATAGGCTCTTAGTTCTATCGGTTTTGAACTCAATAATCCTGAATTTTAGTGCTTGCTCCAATTCATCTATTATTTGTTATGTTCTATCTTGTTAAAACTGCATGTTTCAATTAAACTTATCTCTTCTTTAATCTGCAGGTGGAGCTGAAAGGTTAGTAGTTGATGCGGCTGTTGAACTTGCATCACATGGGCATAATGTTCATGTGTTTACTGCTCACCATGATAGAAATCGATGTTTTGAGGAAACTCTTTCTGGTAGGTTTCTAATAATATTAGTTTCGCTATGTCTATGCTTTAGGTAAATTCTTGTGGCCTTTGCTGCTTTTACCTGATATTGATCTTTATAAGGTCTTCTGAGGAATTGATTTCATGCCCTTGTACACGTGCCCAGGTATCTTTGCTGTTACTGTATATGGTGCTTTCCTGCCAAGGCATGTTTTCTATCGGCTTCATGCTATATGTGCATATCTGCGATGCATTTTTGTTGCTCTCTGTGTGCTGTTGAAGTGGCAATCATTTGATGTTGTACTAGTAGATCAAGTCTCAGTTGTTATCCCATTGTTGAAACTTAGAAAGTCAGTAAAGGTACACATAGCTTAGCTTACATAAAATTTCTTGCCTAGTCTGCATGTCCTGGGACTACAAATTTTTTATCCAGTAATCTCCTTGTGCAGGTTGTTTTCTATTGTCATTTTCCAGATCTGTTGCTAGCTCAGCATACAACTCCTCTGAGGAGATTGTATAGGAAACCTATTGACTTCATTGAAGAAATGACTACTGGTCTGATTTCACTCTGATCTCTGTGCTACCAACATTCTATTAAGTTTTCTTAATGTTTGTTAGTATTTCTCTTTGCTAAAGTGTTGTTTCTGTAATCAAAACCATATTTTGTAACTTCAGGAATGGCGGATATGATATTGGTTAACAGCAGTTTTACTGCATCTACATTTGCGAATACATTCAAGCATCTTCATGCACGAGGAATTCAACCTTCTGTTCTTTATCCAGCAGTCAATGTGGATCAGTTTGATGAACCCCTCTCTTACAAGTAATTAATGTGTTCGCGTATATCTTGAGATCTTCTGATTATAGCAAATTTTTTGAATGTTGTTACTTACCTTTAAGTTTGTATTGTTCTCTGATTACTAGCTCACAAGCCTGCTTTTCTCTTTTGCTATGATGTAGGTTGAATTTTCTTTCCATAAACCGTTTTGAGAGGAAAAAGAATATAGAGTTAGCAGTTTCAGCTTTTGCAATGCTTCATACTCCTAAAGGAGATGTCCTTAAAAATCATAATTTGGCTGATGCTACCTTAACTGTTGCAGGCAAGTCTCTTCCTGTTGCTTATGAGATTGTTGGCTGACTCTTCCATGACATCATATTTCAATAGGGATATGAGCTTAAACTAGTTCTTTACTGCTGAACAGATGGAGTTAAGTGCATACTGATGGTTTTTCTCCCAACAGTTTTCTTCAATTAAATGATAAACATGAATTTGTATTTTTGGTACTATAAAGTATTTGCTGGGGAAAGAAACTGATTCTTTACTTGGGCAAAAATCTGTCAATTATTCCACCCTAAGTGACCATGTACAGCATAAATAGAAGTGAAGATTCATAGTTAATCTGAATGATGAAAGCTTTGCATGGCCTGTGGATTTATGATTAACAATGATTCAGGAGGATATGATAAGCGCCTGAGGGAGAATGTTGAGTACTTGGAGGAGCTCAAAAGCTTAGCAGAACAGCAAGGGGTGTCTGACCAGGTCAACTTTATTACATCTTGTTCGACAGCTGAAAGGAATGCTCTTCTCTCTGAATGCCTGTGTGTCATTTACACACCAAAGGTCGGATGACATCACTCATCATAAATTTGATTAGTTATTACGAAGAAATATGATTTTAAATAGAGATTGTATTGCTGTAGGATGAACACTTTGGCATTGTTCCATTAGAGGCAATGGCAGCTGGTAAACCTGTTATTGCATGCAACAGTGGAGGCCCTGTTGAAACAGTTAAGAATGGGGTAACAGGGTATCTTTGTGACCCTACATCTCAAGAGTTCGCGTTGGTTATGGCTAAATTCATGGAGGATCCAGAAATTGCAAAGAGTATGGGAGGAAAGGCCCGACAGCATGTCAGAGAATCATTCTCTACAAAGACTTTTGGCCAGCGTTTGAATCAATTTCTTATTGATGTTTCTAGGAGCAAGAAGGATTGACAATGGTAAACTTATTTTGAAGAATGACCATATACATACAGCATACATGACAATGTTCGAAACACTAACACATTATACATATCATTATATATTGCACAAGGTGACATGTGATTACTTGGCAGTGAACTATTTGAAAGCAAATATCGTTCTGGAAACTTTACCATGATGTACCAACATCCTTATAAAAAAGAAATAGCTCTAGCTGCTTTTGTGCATTGGCACATGCTGTACTGACAGACATCTTTGTTGATTATTGAGAAATAAATTGATCTACACAACCATCAAGAAGTTCAAACATTTCCATGATAGAAGTGTTTCGTCCATATTCTTACTGGAATCTTAGAGTATCTGAAGTTTTATATATGACTTCATTTGGGATATAAATGCAGTAACAATCTCGGGGCAGTTTTCAGTAACCCTCTTAGCTTTTGTTGTTGCTTAAATGATTTTCTTGTCTCAGTGTCTGCGTCAGCATGATAAACTCTGGTTCATGCCACATGGACATGATTGTATGGCTTTTCATTCCGATTAGGCTTAAAGCTTCCAAGCTCACTCAGTAGCTTTTTAAATGCTAAGGACCATGATTCCAGTGATCATGATTTCATATGCTACCCATGTGTGCCATTAATGTTGCAGTAAGCCGGGGATGGATAAGACTGTATATGGCAGAAAACTGTGTAATAGTTCACTTTCTTCTTTTAGCTTGTTTTGGCCTTTGCAGGATTTACTGGATTGTGAAGTCCTGAGAGATGAAACTTCCATACTAATTAAAAAGGTAGTTAATCTATCTCTCACTTTTCTGTTTTCTTTTTTCAATGTTTGAGAATAGTTTGAACTGATATTATTAAATATTGACAGTTCTCAAATTTGTGGGTATTGAATTTAAAAAGATATAATGATAAGATTATATTTAAAACAACCCTAATTATTTAATTATATGTAGCTGCTAAAGTGAAGAGCGTTTGGGTGTTGTACTACAACCTCATTGTGAGATTCCCCTTGTGCGTTACATGTATCTTCGAGGATCAATTTTATTATCAGATTTTGATTATCCAAAATTTTGTATGCTTCTTTTGGTTTATGTACACACACTTTGTGTTTTCTCTACTCTTTAATGATTTCGAATGTCTCAAACATCATTAGTTATGAGAGAACTTATCGTTACAATTTCAACGAGTTGAATATCGTCACCAACCGATCCCAATTGAATTATTTTATACAGTTGGATTTTTACATTTCTTTGTTGATTAAATGTGCTTTTAAATAAAAATTGATTCTAAACTTTTGAAATTAAATTTCCTTGTAACTTTGTTTTTTAAAAAAACATTCTATTGCATGTTTACTTACATGTACTATCAATAACTAGTGATAATTATTATGTTAAGATGAATAATTTAATTTATTAATATATTATTAACACAGGTTGCATAATTATAGAAGACACAGAATGCAGTTAAAGATTATACCAATTTCTTTTTTTCTATTCTAAAAAAAGAGAGAAAATCATCGAAGCCTTGAAAATGTCTAAAGGGTCGTCACGGTTAATGATGATGGAACTGGTACTCGTTTCGAGGGATATGAATATTAAATAATTTAGCGGTAGTCTTGGCCACACTTCATTTTGTCAGACAAGTAGGTTTAAGCTCAATAAATTTAGGCATGGATTCAAGGCTGAAAATTAATATGACCAACTTAAAATAAATAAATGTTTCAATCAACTCATTTTTTCACCACAGAGAAACACCAATAATTCAAACCCAATTAATAAGTCAATGAAAGATGTTTGAAATTTTAATTGTGTGTCTAAAGATTAGTAATAAAATAAAAGTATATTTAAGATAATACCTAAACAATATATATAAGTAAATACCAAAAATAGTATGTGCCACAAATAATTCAAATGTATACAAATTTTTACTTATTTTTGTGTATTGATGCCATCTTGAGTTTGAAAAGTCTTTAAAATGATAAGAAAGAGGAGTCATCTTGGTCAAATGCGTACAACATTTTGGTTGATGTCATTTTAAGCTTAAGAAGATTTACTAGAAAAAGGAAATATAACAAGCTTCAAATCACCCCCAAAAAAAAAAAAGAATTAAAAAATAAAAAGATAGTTAAATTGAATATACTTAAAAATAAATCTCAATTAAAAAAAAATAATGAAAAAAAAAAATAATAAAAATATCTACATTTATTGCAAATGTTTTATTACCTACATTTACTTATATATTTATATATTGCTAATTTTAAGTAAGTAGTAATTACAACATTAAATACCCTTCAACTTTTAGAACTGAAACCTAGATGCAGGACAAAAAAAATATGCAACGTATAGCAAATGACATGATTACGGGATCTTCCACTATAAAACCCCGGTAAGTGGCTACAAACTCTGCTGCACAGGGAAAGGATAAGTTATATACAGAGACACAGTATGGCTACTGGGCAGGAAGCTTCGACTACAGCAACTACAAGAGATAAATATAGGTCTTTCTTGCTTGAAGATGAGGCAGGAGAAGTTCAATGGAGGCATTGTGCCCCTCCTACATATGATATGGTGAATAAGCTCTTCGAAGAAGGCAGAACCAAGGTACCAATTATCTCCCTACCTAGATCTCTCTTTTTGATCTACATATAATTGTGGTCATAATTAAAGGTGTATGTATGTATGCTCACATGTATGGTATATACTACAGGAATGGCCAAAAGGATCACTAGAAGAGACAGTGCAAAATGCTATCAAGACATGGGAGATGGAGCTCTCACACAAGACCCGCTTGCGGGATTTCAAGACCATTAACCCTGACAAATTTAAGCTCTTTGTCAATGGTACTCAACGGCATGCATGCTTACGTATTTATATATATGTTTACGAATATATTTATATGAGCTATATTCAATATATATGTTTAATATTAATGCCAGGAAGAGAAGGGTTATCCGGAGAAGAGACTCTTAAGCTTGGGAGCTATAATGCTTTACTAAAGAATTCTCTGCCAGAGGAATTTCAATACTACAAAGCAGATAAAGAGACCTTTGAATCATCTCATGAAGCTTTTCGATCGGCTTTCCCTCGCGGATTTGCGTGGGAACTGCTTGCCGTCTACTCTGGGCCTCCTGTGATTGCCTTCAAATTTAGGCACTGGGGCTTCTTTGAAGGCCCTTTCAAAGGACATGCTCCTACTGGAGAGAAGATCGAGTTCATTGGACTCGGCACTCTCAAGGTCTGTTTCTTCTTTATTTAAACTTTCTTGTTAAAACTATGTTAAGAGACCAAATATGAGGATCAATCTATAATATGATTTTTAGCTTAAAATCTACCAAGTTCTGAGAGACATGTTGTAGAGTTTGAAGAAGATCGGTTTTGTAGAGCAGAGATTCTGAAAGCAGATGATTTTGGCAGGTTGACGAGTCCCTCAGGGTAGAGGATGTTGAGATTTACTACGACCCAGCAGAGTTATTTGGAGGATTGATGAAGGGTTCCTAAGCCCAAGATAATCCCACCCACCATCTGGGGTAGTTTGGTATCTTCTAGTGAGTAATATTTCATTCTGTATATTGCCTTTAAACCTTGAGATAAAACAGTAGGCAATGTAATTTGTTTTTTAAAAATAAAAAGCAACAGTATATAATGTAATTGATCTAAGTCTTTTCTCCGTGGTATGGAAGGTACATGTGTTTTCCTTTATAATGCTATTCTGGAATGAGATTTGAAATCTTGGAAGAAAGCATGTTATCTCTCTGTGTTTAAGTCATCAGGTTATCTGCCTTCTTGAATAAAATCCGATAAATAGAGGCATCACTAACCCCATGAATAAATAATATGTGTGGAGTGTATATATGTGAATGAAACCTTTCTTTTTACTGTCTAATCTAGACTCAAATCCAGAATGTTTATGGAGGGAACAAAGAAGGATCAGAACCTTTCTTCTTATGTCTGTCTGACGAGTTAAGGATTTGAAAATAAAAAATTATAATTAAAATTTATTGTAACTTCACCACTGTACCCCAATTTATTTTCCGTATAAATACTCTCTCCCCGCGGCCCTCTCTAATGAATTTTTTGTTCTGCCAGTAAGAACACAGATTATGGAGTTCTTTTTTTCTCATATAAGACTTCCTTTTTAATAAGTTACTCAAAGAAGACTTTAGACTCTACACTCTTTCTAATTCTCTTATTTTCAATTTACTTATTTCATACGGTACGTGTGTGGCTAAATTTCAACGGGTATAGTGAATCTGCATATGAATAATTATTTGAAACCTAATCTACACGTAGATAGGTAATTATAAGTGTGTAGATCAGCTAACAAACGTAACTGTTGTGACCAATGTAAAATTATTGTCTTATCCATGCGATGAAGGGATCTTTTTCGCTTCTCCTTTATGATGATATAAACAGCATCGCGTAATAAAATTTTAGATGTAATATTTTAAATGTATTGTAATATTTCGAGTATAAATATGATATCCGAATGGATGTGTGATATTCGAAAAATATTACAAAAAAAGAATGTGAACAATAAAAAAAGAATGATTTGAATTAAATACAAGATTTCGTAAACAATATGTAAAAATAAGAGTATAATATAATAAAAAAAGATTAAAATAAATTTTCATTGATGTTTTGTTGTGTATTTATTTATGATATTTTGATTGATATTTTTCTGAATTATAAAATATCATTATATCTTACATTTTGTGTGAATGTGTACATAAATTTTTATTTTTTTTATTGAACTCGTAAAACTCATCCCAATTCACTCCACCCAAATCAGAAGAGATGAGAAATAAGTTAAAAATCAATAGAAGATTGTGAAAAAAAATTTATTAGTTTTTATTTTAAAATTATAAATTAATTTATATGTCTCAATTATTTATAAACAAATAATTATTTTATCACAAGTGATGTATATTAAACTGTAATTTTCCTATATATTTAATATTTATCTGTTTCACTAATTAAAAATGTTGTGCAAACTTCTATACCCGCTAACGTTGAGGGTTCGGGATATTACACTTTTGATTTGTTTTAAATATCATATTTTTCTTCATTGCTAACCAACGAGCTTTCAGCTCAATGGTTACTTCCTGCTCATTTAGAATGAGGGAGAATCAGTTTCTGGGTCCAATCCAGCTTATCAGAAGTACCTTTGGCCACTTGGGGGAAAAAAACAAAAAAAAACAAAGAGAAGCTCCAATGTCTATACGAACTCTGATTTGAGGTCCGAAGGCTGGTTGAAAGCCAGAACTATTTTTTCTTGCCTTCTAGGTGTTCGGTAAAGAGGCCATTCCTTAGATCAAACCTCTTCAATCCTCTTCTTTTTCCCTTGCAACGGTACGTGATCTTTCTGCTTAGGCTACTTCCCTTGCAGCAATGCATTTGTGTTGTTTTTCCTTATGGTTTAGTTTGTTTTTATAGGATTCACACATTAGCGATGAAAGATAGAGATGTTATTGAGAAAGCAGTGAGCAGCAATTTTGTTCTGTCAATGTTGTACAACAGCTTGATTTCCATTTTAGTAAATGCACGGCATAAGGGTATCAGATGAATTGAGAGCAGACATTGATTGAATGAATCGCTATGTGAGATCTGACTGAAATTTTGATTGTGTTTTTTATCCATTTTGTGGGTTAATAGTGTCAATACAGAAACACATTTAAGGTACGGTATGGTGTTTTGAACGAATCAAAATCGGAGTATAAAAAAAGCTGAGAAATTATGTGAAAAGAGCTGAGAAATCAGACTGACATTAAGAAGGGACTTTCGAAGGAAAATGAGAAGATCATCAAAAAAGGGAAAGCAAACAGAGGCTGAAATTGAAGCAAGAAAAGATTAAATTTGTATCAGTTCATATGCAGTTAAACCCTATGTTACTGACTATATATGGTGTTACCAATCCCTGTTTTCATCTTTAATCAGCTTTAGTTGACAGTATAAACTGTTTGGTATGATTATTCACGTTTACTGTTCAAGTTTTCCTTTTTAGTTGCTGTTTGGAATGTTCTCCATTATTTTCCCCTCTAGTTTGAATTTCATTTTGGTGTGGACTTCTAGTTCATTTTCTCCCTTGTATGGAAGAAAATATCATTTATGGCGAAATCACTTCTGTTTGTCGGTTTTCTTTGTTAATTAGCATCTCCATGCTTCTGTCAATCTTATGTTGAATCAAGGATTTGGTTTGTTTCTTCTTTTGTTCTTTCTTTAGCTGCTTTTTGGAATGTTCAAATCCTTTAATATTGATATGGTATGACTGATCTACTAGCCTCTTGCATTTCTCAACCCTCTTCATCCTGTAAAATTTTTGAAATTCACTTCATCTGAATTTATCCATCTATATTTTGTGAATAATCCACCTCCAAAGTATCATTGAACACTCTTTTTATAAACATTAGCAAATTCCAACATCACAGCAGAGACAGTATCCTAACCAATTACTTTGGTGCATCAGTCACGAGGTGCTAATTAAGAAAGCACCTTATGATCTCATTCCACTTTGACTAGCTTGCATCTAAGAGATCAGTGATTATATTGTTTACTCAGAACCCACTACATTTGACTTGGCTGACTCCAACCCACCAGAATTACACTTAAATCTTTAGACTCAGACAAAATTGCTTGAACTCTAGCTAATTAAGAAAGCACCTTAGTCTTCCTAAAGTTTCAAGTTAATCCAAAAATCAACCAAAGGTTGATATATAGCATTTTTTAGAAATCTAATCACTGAAAAAAGCGTGCCAGCGATGTTTCATTATAAAGAAAAGCATGCTTGAGTTCAAAAATCAAACCTTTGTGTCCTCACCACTCTTCCACCTAGACTTCAAACGTTGATATTTACGGCAGAGGAATATCTAATTATATCATTTGTAGCACAAAATGGCAAAGGCTTCAAGGGAAATACCAATCTAGCTTGTAAGGTTAGGTAAAATCTTGCATACAGATTTTTTTGCAGAGGTTGTATGTTGAAAATTTAGGCATATGCAATAAAAGAATATATCACGTGATTTAAAATGGTTCCAAGCAATAATATTACCTAGGAGATGCTTATAAGTGAAAAGAATCAAAAATGAGAAGGACAGGTGCACCCCCTAGATCAAAATTCTAAAATGAAAAGTCCAGATGACTTTTTCTGTTTAAAAGTTGGATACAGCCGGTGGCCTCTGACGTTTCCAGATACCACCCTTATCCCCTCTTTTTATTTCTCTGTGTGTATATATTTCCAAGACTCTATTCAAATACAATACAACAGAAAATTAATGAGCATTAAATGCTCTCCACCCTACCCGGCTAATTTTCTTTACATGGTATCAGAGCAGTGCCTGTGATAAGCACTGATCTTCCTGATTTCTATATTACAATATTCCTCTACTGCTCAATAGTAAATCCTAATACAGATGTATTGACACTCCTAAACTCAAACCAGTCTAGAATGCAACTCGTCACAACCACACTTGATGGATCCAACTACTTGTCTTAGAGCCGAGCCATGGTGATCGCATTGAGAGCCAAGGACAAGCTTGCCCTCATGGACGGTAGATACAGAAAGCCCGAACCCGATGCTGCAGAATATGAACAATGGCACAAAACATACAGCATGGTGGTGTCTTGGATTCTAAACTCGATGAACAAAGAGCTCGCTAACGCTTTCCTGTTCACCACATCAACAAAAAACTTGTGGGACGAAATAAAAAAAAAGGTATGGTGAAAGCAACGGACCTCTGTTATATCAGCTAAAATGCGAAATAAGTTCCATCACGCAATCTAACCTCTCTGTCATAGCCTATTACACAAAAATCAAAAGGCTGTGGGATGGGTTAACACACCTAAGGCCCTCACCTGCTTGCAGATGCCATGTTGCAACACAACACAGTGAAATAAATAATACCGACAACCTAATCCAATATTTAATGGGTCTTAATGACTCATATGACCATGTTAGAAACCAAATATTGATCATGAAACCCTTATCGAGAGTAAATAGAGTTTATTCCATGATGATTAGTGTTAAAAAACAGAGGGAAGTACACAATAGCAACTCATTTGAGGGGTCACCTACTGCATTTTACACCAACTTGAAAGACAGTCCAAAATTCCCAAACCGGAAAAAGGAAAAGGACAGCAGGGCATGCACTTACTGCAAAAACACAAAGGACACTTGCTTCAAGCTCCATGACTACCTAGAATGGTTTACAGAACTCGAAGGGAAAATGAACAAAGAAAAGGCTAATGCAATGACTGATAACACCAAAATAGAAGTATCCAACACAAACTGGGGCACAGAAATGTCCACACTCATACAACAAGAGATCACCAAGTATTTGAAGAACCAATGAGAAAACATGGCAGAATCAGCAAGGTGCGTGGGCTACTCTGGCCCCCCTGGTAAGCAACTTAAATGCAGTTTTTTGCATACCTTTAATGATATAGGAACTCGGATAATAGACACAGGTGCCGCATTACACATATGCCATGATTTTAAAATGCTTTCAAAACCCGTAAAACTAGAACCTGCAGTGTCTGTCTCGTTATCAGATGGAATCACGAGTCATTCAACCCACAAAGGGACCATAAAACTGTGTGACAACTTAATTCTACAGGATGTTCTTTATATACCAAAATTCACTTGCAACCTTATTTCTGTTAGAAAACTAACCCAAGCTATAAATACTTACATTTTCTTTTATCCCAACCATTGTTTTGTGTAGGATTTGACAACTAAGGAAATATTGAGGATGGGAACAATAATGAAAGGCCTATACACCCTGAGTGAAGACATTGACCCTAACAAAGCATACATCAACCACACCCAAGAAAACAACTACAACTATGGCACAAAAGACTCGGCCACACATCTACAAAAAAAATTAATCCACATTCCCAGTCTAAAGTTACCAGACAGTGCAGCTTTACATGATTATGAAATATGTCCCTTAACAAAACAACAGCGCTTATCTTTTTCTAAAAGTTTTATCAATACCAGTGACATTTTCAGTTTAATACATGTTGACCTTTAGGGACCATACCTGGTTAATTGTACCTCTGGTGCGCTTTATTTTTTAACCATAGTTGATAATTTCTAAAAAGCCACTTGAACTTACTTATTAAAAGAAAAAACGAGTATACCAAATATCTTGAAATATTTTTACAATCTAATACAAAATCAATTTTAGAAAACAATCAAAGTAGTTAGAACAGACAATGGCACTGAGTTCATAAACATTTCATGCAAAAAAAATTTTCCAAGAAAAGGGCATCATGCATCAAAAAACCTGTACATATACACCACAGCAGAATGGGATGGTGGAGAGAAAACATAAGCACCTATTACAAATTGCTAGGGCATTGATGTTTGAATCAAAACTACCCAAAAGTTTTTGAGATGAAACCATACTCACAGCCACAAACATAATAAACGTTTTACCAACCTCTGTTTTAAAATGAAAAACTCCTTATGAAATTCTATACAAAAAACAGTCAAATTACTCAAAGCTAAAAACCTTTGGTTGTCTATGTTTTGCCACAAATGTCATCCCTCAAAAGGATAAGTTTGAACCTAGGGCTTTGAAGTGTGTTTTCTTATGGTATGCACCCGATGCAAAGGCTTACAAATTATATGATATGACAAACAGAAAAATATTTTTGTCAAGGGATGTCATATTTCATGAACACATTTTCCCATATGAAACAGAACACCCTAAACCAGATTACCATGACACACCACTGCCAATACCAAGTGACGACACAGTAAACACACCTGAAAAACAACCACAAAGAAGAGAAGAAACTCTATTACCAACTAACACTCCCCAGGAGTCTGAAGTGAGGAAGAGCATCAAGGTGAGAAACAGGTCCGCCTAGATGGAAGACTTTGTCGCCCATACCACTAAACAACCCATGTCTGAGCTTCATTTCCTCATGTCCACCTCACCTACATACAACCACGGCTATATTAATTTTATTGCACAAGTGTCTATTACCAAAGAATCAATGTCATACAGGGATGCTAAAAAGGACAGAAAGTGGGTTGAGGCCATGCAAGCCGAACTGTCCGCACTGGAAGAAAATAGAACATGGGAACTAACTGCACTACCAACAGGAAAGAAAGCTATCGACTCAAAATGGGTATCTAAAATAAAATACAATGCCGATGGATCAGTTGATAAATACAAAGCAAGACTCGTAACTAAAGGTTACAACCAGGAATTCGGCATAAACTATCACGATAGTTTCTCACCAGTGGCTAAAATGATCACGGTTCGGTTACTCTTAGCAGTGGCAGCCGCAAGCGACTGGCCAGTATACCAGTTAGACATCAACAACACATACTTACATGGTTTTGTGGAAAAAGAACTATACTTAAAACCTCCAGATGGCTACTTTAAGACTAGTGAAGGGCAAGTTTACCGTCTAACCAAGAGCCTATACGGCCTAAAACAGGCGGGTCGCCATTGGAACAAGGAGCTTACCTCAAAGCTCCAATCTATCGGCTTCACCAAATCAGAGATCGACCACTGTCTATTCACAAAAGGAACAAAAGGAAACTACGTTGCGGTTATAGTATATGTTGATGACTTACTTATCACGGGTCCTAATGAAGAAGAGATTTGCGGAGTCAAAAGCACCATAAATGAAGCCTTCACAGTTAAGGACCTCGGCCAAGCAAGATACTTCCTCGGAGTCGATATAGCTAGGTCAAAAGAAGGAATCTACATCAGCAAAAAAAAAAAATACATCAGAGATATTCTATAAGATACAAAGATGGAAGATGCAAAAAGAAGTCACTTTCCCTTGCCTTTCGAACTAAAACTAAATACAGAGGAAGGGGAGATCTTACCAGATCCGGAGAGATATAGACGCCTAATCGGCCGTTTACTTTATCGCAATTTCAACGGGTCCGACATAACGTACTCCACTCAATACCTCAGTCAGTTCATGCAAAAACCCAGACGACCGCACCTCGACGCCGCACTACACGTTGTTAGGTACCTAAAGCAATATCCGGAGCAAGGCATCTTCTTCCCAAGAAAGAATGACTTCAAAATTCAAGCCTTTTCTGACTCAGACTGGGTATCGTGCCCGATAACCCGCAAATCACTCACAGGCTTCTGCATCTTCCTTGGGCCTGCACTGATCTCATGGAAAACAAAGAAACAAGCTACGGTGAGTAAATCTTCTGCAGAGACTGAATATAGAAGTATGTCATCCACGGTTTGTGAAGTTCAGTGGATAACCTATCTACTTCATGATTTTCAAATAACACTCCACTTACCCGTAACTTTGAACTGCGACAACAAAGCAGCCGAGCATATCGTAGCAAATTCGGTTTTTCACAAACGAACGAAACATCTTGACATCGACTGCCACATAGTACGCAACTAGGTTCAAAAGGGCTTCGTTGAAACAAAGCATGTCACCTCGAAAGGAACAGCTCGCCGATTTGCTCACAAAATCCTTAAGGACTTCAGCACATCATCGGCTTCTATTTAAGATGAAGCATCTGCAACAACGGAGTCCAAAGAGCCAAAGCAGAGATAGGGAGGAACTTGAAGGGCCGAAAGCAAACTGACTTCATCTGGAGGAGCGGGTGAAAGAATAAAAATGAGAAGACAAGTGGACCGTCCATATCAAATCCTAAATAAAGGTCATATGACTTTTCTGTTAAAGTGGATACAGCTGTGCTCTGATGTATCGAGACACATTATCCCCTCTTTCATTTCCTGTGTGTATATAATTTCAAGGCTCTATTCAAATACAATACAACAGACAATTAATGAAGCATTAAATGCTCTCCACCCTACCCGGCTAATTTTCTTTACAATAAGACTACAAACGTATTTGAGAATTAAGGCATATTCATCCAAATTGTGTTATTATTCAAACACCCAGAGGTATAAACCCAACTTTGAGATGCAAATTCTGACAGCATGCCAAGTTTATTTTGTCCGAAAATTTGGATCGAAAGGCAGGAGCACGAGAAACAGTTCTGTGGCTTCCAAAACTTACATATTGATTGCTGAATACCTAAAATATAACTTTGCACTCACGATTCCACAACACAGGCAAGAAAGTTCCTCAAAAAATTATTAAAAAAATACAGAAATAAGCATAAAAAAGAAACATTCCTACTTAAACATTCAAAATCTTAAATTCAAAAGTAGAAACGGAATACAAGAAAATAAAGAAAGGTAGACGAACAGACAGGCAAATCAACGCACTTATCATCATCATTATCACCATATACCATAATCAGGAGGAACAATAACAAGGTTTAAGAATTTTTCACCTAACAATCGAAGCCCTTATTCTATTCGTTTTTCTGACAAACATCTTTTAAACAATTACGTCAAGGGAGAAAACGGAGAGATTACTTAATGCTTTTGTGTACCGCATTTGCAGAGCTTTGAGATAACAGACTTTGCTCTTGCAGTTGCTGTTGGTGTTGTTGCTGTTTCTCAATTGATTTCCGCTCGATTTCGCGCCACTTGTTGATCGCAGCAACGCTGAAAACTAGAAGCGCAAACACCGATTGTTCCAAATTAGAAATTTCAAAGTGCAGAAGTAATATATATACATATATGTGTGTGTGTGTGTGTGTGTGCGCTCCCGAGAACGTATGAATATAAATAACTCACATCCAGCGCCGACGAAGTAGAGAAGACGGAGGAGCTTCGGGCCGGCGGGACCAGCTACTTCTTCACCCGTCATTTCCTCTCCAAATCTCTGCTCTCCCTCTCCTGCTCTGCGTAACCAAAACGGGGGATCTTGGAAGAAATGGGTAGCACGGCCCAATAACACCAGACCCATTAAGAACTAGGAGGAAATCAAACTCACACACTCCCGTTGAGAAGTAATTTTAGAAGAAAGAAGAGATGACATGTTCGTTGTCAATTATTCAATTTAACAAATAAATAATCAAATATTTTAAGAGAAAAATAAATTAATATGTTTTATAAATATGATTTATTTATTTTAAATTCTTATTAAAAATTAAAAAAATAAAATTTAAGGTATACAAATATTATATTTGTAGAATTTGTCAATTCATATGTTTTATTAAATTAAATGAAATTATTCCATTTATAAAAGGACAACTGCATAACTGAGTGAAGGTGTTTTAATACGACCAACTTAAATAAATATTTCACAAAAAGTTTCAATTAATTCCCCATGAAGATTCTCTTTCGATAAAACTGCAAGATTCTCTTTTATGGCAAAAGCTAAGGCCAATTTAGAAATGTGCTTCATTAATTTATTTAAAATTATACTTTCAAAATATTATTTATAAGAATTATATTGAATTTTCTTTTTTTTTTTTGCCACTAATTATTTTCTCGAGCAATTATTGAAAATATAATGTACTGAAGAAAATATGGCAAAGAAATTAATGAATGTTATTGCTAATAAAAAATTAAATTGAATAATGAAATTCACATATAGTATTGAATATGTAAGCACATTATTAACATAAAAAGATATTTGTAAAAAAATAATAATAGAAATTCATACATTTCAATAATTGGGTGATATTTGTACATCAATAATAACACAATCAGTGATATCAATCTCTCAAAGACTGACACACAAAACACATAGTTCAACTTGAATTCATAATTTCGTAAGAAAAAACTAAAGTACCTATTAAACATTTGCCAGTCCTTCAAATAATTGATGGTAACATAAGTTTTGTCAATCATTTAAAAAGAAGAACACATCCCAAAAGTGTTGAAGCCGCATAATTTGACATTAGTTTTTTTTTTTTTTAGTACAGCAAGAATATGTATTAGTCTTGCATTAAGTAACATAAACAAAGACTCTGGAGTTAAAAATAATTATTACATGCGTTTTCTTTTTTTCTTTTTCTAATGATATTATGACCATAGACAATGTATTAGTAAAATAAATTAATCATTTTCATTAAATTTATTAGGGTATCCTTAGTTATTATAAATTTCAAATTTTGTTGAGAATATATATAAACAAAGCATTAAAAAAAATAATAAAAAAAAAAAACTTGTACTCTTTTGCCGAATTATTTAGTTACATAAAAATGTCATGAATTGAAAGTAGTTATAAATATAAGGAACAAATTATAAATAAATAAATAAAAAGTACAAAATATGATTATAACATTGAAAATAATTCAGGTACTAAAATTATAATTTTTAAAAAATATATAAGAAACTTAAAATATACACACAAAAAAAAAAGAATATAATGTAATACTTATAGTACTGGCGTCATAAAACTAGCCAGATGCACTGGCCCATAAGCTAAACGTATCTCTATAAAACAGATCCAAACAGAAAAGGCAAATTAAAAAACAAAAGCAGAACAAAATCCTTAAAAAAAATCAATGAAATTGATTCATAAACTAATAATATTTCTTAAATAGCTTAACCTCTATCCAGTAGTTATTAATATGTAATCTTCCACTATAAATACCTGCCCATGGCTCCAACCATCGCTACACAGAAGGAAAAGTACATATATACATACGTACACACACACACACAATCTACAAATTATGGGCATTGGGCAAGAAGCTGCAGTTGCAGTTGCTGGAAGGGACAAATACAGGTCTTTCTTGTCTGAAGATGAAGTAGGAAAAGTTCAATGGAGAAATGGTGCGCCTCCCACATTTGACGTTGTCAACAAGCTCTTTGAAGAAGGAAGAACCAAGGTTACAGTTATCACTCTACCTACATCTCTCTGTTTGATCTATATATACCTATGATCATAACTAAAGGTATGTATTTTATACATGTTTGCATGTATGGTATATACACTACAGGAATGGCCTAAAGGATCACTAGAAGAAACAGTGCAAAATGCTATCAAGACATGGGAGATGGAGCTCTCACACAAAACCCGCTTGCAGGATTTCAAGACCATTAACCCTGACAAGTTTAAGCTCTTTGTCAATGGTATTCAACAGCATGCATGCTTATATATATATTACACCTATGCTTGTACGAGGTAAATTCCTTATATATGTCTAACATTTATGTCAGGAAGAGAAGGGTTATCAGGACAAGAGACCCTTAAGCTTGGGAGCTACAATGCTTTACTAAAGAATTCTCTGCCAGAGGAATTTCAATACTACAAAGCAGATAAAGAGACCTTTGAATCATCTCATGAAGCTTTTCGAATGGCTTTCCCTCGTGGATTTGCATGGGAAGTGCTTGCCGTCTACTCTGGTCCTCCTGTGATTGCCTTCAAATTTAGGCACTGGGGCTTCTTCGAAGGCCCTTTCAGAGGACATGCTCCTACTGGAGAGAAGATCGAGTTCATTGGACTCAGAACTCTCAAGGTCTGTGTCTTGTTCTTTAACTAAACTTGGTTGTTCAAAATTTTGTTGAAGAGACCAAATATCAGAATAAATGTAATGACTTCAAATAGACTTGGTATAGAGTTTGAAGAAGATTGGTTTGTAAAGCAAGAGAGTCTGAAAACAGATGATTGTTTTGGCAGGTTGACGAGTCCCTCAGGGTAGAGGAAGTTGAAATTTACTATGACCCAGCAGAGTTATTTGGGGGACTGCTCAAAGGGTCATCAATTTCAGCCTCACAGATTCCAACCACTCAAAGTTGTCCATTCGCCAGTTAAACAAATATTGCAATTTGAAAGAAGAGAACTGTACTTTCTGCCTTTGGAAGTATCAACTCAACTAAGTCTACTTTCTGGGTATCTATTTGTCTAAAACAATTGCATATGGTTGAAAACTAATTGCCCTTTCTCTATGTCCGCCAAACTCCTACTATCTCATGCCTAAACATTACTGCTCAGTAGCAGACAAATAAATAATAAAATTATTTGAAACAAAAATTTACTAGTGTAGTATAAATATATCTCAAAAATATATATACAAGATTTTATTTGAACCTGTAGAACTATTTTAACCCACAAATTTCATTCCAAAATAATTTTGACAATATTTTAAACCCAAGTTATCTCAAAATGTAAACAAATTCGTCCATAAATAAATCTATTATTCAATTCAATTTGAAATGAAATACAATTACCGAGGTAGTTGGCATTCAGCACGGTACAAATTTTGCTTCTGGAGCTAGTTATACAATTCCAGACTATGCATCCCTAGTTCAGATATCTGAAATAGCAGGAAAGAAGACAGTGACACAAAGTAGCTTCAAGACTTTTCTTTTTCAATTTATAAATAGTAAAAGGAAAAAAGAACAGTAGGAAATTTTGGAATGACAGATAAATATACACTAATTACGCCCAATTTCTCCATCTTCATAGAGGAAAACAAAAATTAGATAGAACCAACCTTTTAACGCGATGATAAACATGATATTACAATTACATTACAAGATGAATGCAAAGAATATTATCAGCATCAGAAACTTTTAGTGAAACTCAATTTTTGGATCTATCCCACGCCGGCATTCATCCATGAGAGCCACACTTAACATTTCAGTGCAAAACTGATCATCTGGTTTCAGCCATAATGCCTGCTCAGGAAAAACCCAAAAAGAAAAAAGTAATGGAACCACATTATTTATTTTTTAAAGAAAAAAAACGCATGACAAACTGAAAATCAACTGATCCACAAAATAAATTTTTTTTCTCACAACACAGAAAATCATATAAATACTCAATGTTTGTTATGCCAGTCAAAGACTGGAGGTTCATCAATGCTAAAACAAAGGGACTGCAGGCAAATTCTAACGCACTCACCTTATGATAATATGTAATTGCAGCAGTGAAGTGATCCTGCAAAATGGTGAAAAAGGCAAATGTGAACTTGAGCTTTTAAGTGCATGTGATCTTACACTCAGAGGAGGGGAAAGGAGAGTATGTGAACTTTGGCAATCCTCAAGAACCAGCATTAAAAATTTGTCATGAGCCTGTTATGTGAACTTTAGCAGCGTACTTCTATGCCACATACACGGTTATGAAGTGATAAACAACAATGTCTTATAACCCCAAGTGAGATAATCTCCTTAATCCTTCATAAGGACCCAATTTAGTTCCACACATAAAGCAGGTGGCACCCCCTTTCTTACGGAACCAGTTAATGAATAAATTGTTATGTAAAACCATCATGTATGAAGATATCAAGGAAATACTTGTCATACAAGGTTAACTACAAGAGACTATTCTTTTACATAGAAAGCGGAAACCAAATCAATGCTACTTTGGATGTTCTAATTAGGATCTTTTAATTAACAAGTCATCTCTAATATGAAAAGATGGGGCACATTCAACATGGACCTCAAACGGCAACATATTCTTCCTCTGGCCAAACTCAAAAATTGCTTAGTCAAAAGCAAAACTATATGAAAGAGAGTTTGATATACCTGCAAATGATATGTGTATGCAAGACCAGCATACGTACTCAAGCTTCTATTTGATAATGCAAGTGCTTTCTCATAACAAGAAATTGCTTCCCTGTACAGCCTAATACAGAAATCTCACATGATTAGTTGTATAGGATATTACTATCAATTTAATAAGTTCATAACACACCCAAATAAGAATCTACAAAAACCAACGGCACATATAAAAAGAGCAAAATATTTTATTCTATGGATAATAATACTTAATACAGAAAATGGAAATCAGCAAGCAACACTACAGAGGATGTAATTCCTATAAAGCAACAACCACAAGATACTGTGGTAGGAGCTCAAGCACCCCTTGGATCATAACCTAAACTTTGGCTCGGATTGGGATACTACATTTTGCTTTTTACTTCTCCA